ACTTTTCTTTATTTTGTCCTATTGGCCTGCTTTTCTACTTAGACCAGTATCTTTGTACTGAGTCTTGGTAACTGTTTTACACCCACAATGGCAAGGAGCCAGCACCTGTCTCTGCACCTCGTCAGTGCGTGGTGTTCTCTCTGTGCCCTTCCACAGGTGTGCAGTGGTATTTCCTGGACTTGACTAGTGACTAGTTTTGTGGAGCACCTTTTTACGTGTTTTTGTTCTCTGTATATCTTTGATGATGAGTCTGTCCAGATGTTTTGCCCATTTTTTGATTAGATTTTATTTGTTTGGGGGTTTTTGGTTTTGTTTTGTTCTTTAGGTTTTTGCCATGGAACACATGCTCTTGCAGGGATAGACAAGAGACAGAGAAGAAAAGTGAGAAATCACCCTTGGTGGGGGGGTTGGCCAAACTGTGGTCCCTTCTCCCCTCAGGATTCTGGGTACATAGGCACACCCTCCTGGAGTGATTTTCAAGCTGCCACGTCTGGGGCTTAAACCAAGTTCAGCCATGTGAGAGTCCAGTACATTAACTATCATGTCACTTGCTGGCTCTTTAATTAGACTCTTACTGAGTTTTGAGAGTTCTTTACATATTTTGCATTTTTTAGAATGTTGACGTTTTCTTTATAAATAATCATATCATCTTCCAAAGAGAGTTTTGTTTATTGGTCTAGGGCATGTGCACTTGATAGTGAGAGATAGACACACAGAGAGAGAAAGTAAGAAATCATCCCTGAGGGAAGATGGGCATGCCACCATCTTTTCTCCTCTCTTTTCCTCTTGGGACTTTGGGTATGCATGCATACACACCTGGTGTGATTTTCAAGCTGTCTGGGACTTGAACTGTGCAGTGGGCCATGTGAGATCCAGGCGCCTTAACCTCCATGCCACCTGCTAGCCCAAACAAAGTTTTATTTCTTTATTTTTTCCAGTGTGTATGACTTTAATTACAAATTGATTGATTGATTGATTGATTGCTAGAGGGTGCATGTGCTCACCAGCGAGACAGGGATAAAGAGAAAAGGAGAGGAGGAAGCACTGAATGGTGAATGGTCACGCTGAAATTCCTTCTCCTGTCTCTCTCCTCCTTTTCAGGATTTTGAGCATGTACACACATGCAGTTGGTGTGTTTCTCAAGTTGCTGGGTCTGGGATTGAACGGTGGTGTTGGTCATATAGGATCCAGCTGCCTTAACCACCATGCCATGGTGTCAGCCCTCCATCTCTCCAGTAGATACCAAAATGGCTATTAGGGTTTTTATTCATAAGTGAGTTCAGTAATTTTGTGTCTTTCAGGAAATATGTTCATTTTATTTAAATTTCAAAATTTTGTGCATAGTTTTGTTAGTCTTCATTTCTGTGGGTGCAATAGTGATATCTGCTCTTTCATTTCTAATATTTGTAATCTATTTCCTTTTTTTCTTAGATCTAAGTTTTCATTTTATAAAATGCCGAGGAACACACTTTCTGGATTGTATGGTAAAACTACAAGGGGTCTTCAAATATTTCTTTAGAAATGCATATTATGAAAAATACTATACAGGGATTTATTTATTTTACTTTTTTTTTAAAAAAGATTTTTGCTATAGGGCACATGTGCTCACCAGAGAGATAGAAAGCGAGAAATCACCCCTCAGAGGGGATGGTCATGCAACAATCTCTTCCTCCTCCATTCTCCTCTTGGGATTTTGGGCATGCATGCACATGTGCCTTTCGTGAGTTTTAAGCCACTAGTTCTGGGTCTCCAACTGCGGTCTACTATATGGGAGTCCAGTGACTTAAGCATTACGCCATCTTCTGGTCCTATATTTCAAAAATTTTTTATACCAGCTTATACTTTATTTGTTTAAGGAATTATTTTTAAAATTTTAAATAATTTTTTAAATTTAACTTTATTCATTCATTTCTATTTGACCAGAGAGGGAGTGAAGGAGAGAGAGAGGGAGGAGAGAGAGGGGAGAGAGAGAGAAAGTGAGAAAGCAGGCCGCCAGGTCTAGGACTCAAACTGCGGTCAGCCATGTGGGAGTCCAGCTTACTTAACCACCACGCCACCTGCTGGCCCCTTAAAGGATTATTTTATTTATCTTTATTTGTTATTATTTTGCAGTTTGATCAGATGGTGGGGGCAGTGCAAAAGCAAGCCACGAGGTTCAGGACTTGAACTGTGGTTGTCCATGTGGGAGTCCAGTGCCTTTAACTACCACATCATCTGCCAGCCCCTAAAATTGTACATTAATTCCATTGTTGCATGAACTTTTAAGTCTCTTTTTATGTTTAGCAACCCTGCTCAAGTGAGAGGGAGGGAAGGAATTTAAACTCGTTTAGTTTTGTTAGAATCTGTGAAACTGACTTCTATAGTGTCCAGTTTCACATTTCTTCCAGCAAGGAGTGGAGGTTCTTTGTGCCGCACACACTCTCCAACTTGTGGTGGTACCACTGTTGTAGGTCCCAGGCACTCTGACAGGTATGCGGTTGTGTCTCATTGTTTTCTTCTTTTTTCTTTTCTGAGAGAATTTTGCTCTAGGGCACGGACACTCACTGGAGAGACAGAGAGACAGAAAGTGAGAAATCAACCCCCAGGCTGGATAGCCAGCTACTCCTCAGTTCCTTCTCCTCTATTCTCCTCTGGGCATACCTGCACAAGTGCCTGGAATGAATTTTAAGATGCTCGGTCCAGGACTCAGATCTTAATCAACTGCATTGGAGTCCAGCGATGTAACCATTACACTATCTGCTGGCCCCTCATTGTTTTCGCAATTTGCAGTCCCCTAGTACTCTGATGTTGAGTGTCTCCCATGTCATCTGTGTATATTTCACGTTCAACTCTGTCCCATAAACTGGCTGCTGCTAGAGCTATTGTCATTTTGGTCACCAAGTTTTTTTTTTTTTTTTTTTAAGAGATTTTTTGCTATAAGGGCGCATGTGCTCGCCAGAGAGGCAGAGACAGACAGAGACAGAGAGACAGCAAGAAGTCACCCCCAGGGTGATGGCCACGTCGCAATCCCTTCTCCTCCATTCTCCTCTTGGGATTTTGGGCACACATGCACATGTGCCCTGTGTGAGTTTTAAGGCTCCAGGTGCAGGACTTGAGCCGCGGTCAACTCCATGGGAGTCTAGGAACGTAACCATCTGTTGGTCCCTAGTCCACTAAGTTCTAACATATCTTCTCTTATGATGGTCATTTATTTAGGGCTCTTTCACAGACTACCTGAAATATCAAAAGAACATTGCTTACTTCATCCTTTGTGCTGCCATTGTCCTCTGTGTTCTTTTATCTTAACGTCTTTGGCTCCCAGTTGCATTTGTATGTGTTTAACCTTCCTTTGCTCTGCAATGCTCAGTGTAGCTTGAGGGTAGAACCACATTTTATTACTTTTACTTCCCCTCTATGAAAGAGAGAAAGAGGGTGAGTAGTGGCAGGACTCAGAGTCTTCACGTCACAGCCCTCTTGCCCCAGCAACCCAGTTAGCCTCTAGTTCAGGTATGTGTAACTGTGCCTTCATGTTCAGGTTGGCATAGGCCTACCATAGGTTAAGGCCTGCATGTGACTTCTAGCCTACCACACAGTAACGTACAGAGGTCGAGCTGTATATCCCATTCATTTTTATATCACCTCCTAGTTGAATCCCTGGCACTTATTATTAGCGTTTCCTGTAGTTATAGGATGATGATGAACTGATGCTGTTTGCACACAAGTGTTCTTCCATTAGCATTAAAAGTCCCACATCCTGGGGCCAGTAGGGGGCATGGCTCTAGACGCCCAAATGTTCCACTGTGGTCGAGTCCTGGTCCCAGCAGCTTGAAACTCACACCTGGTGAGTGTGCATGCATGCCCACAATCTCGAGAGGAGGATGGAGGTGAAGGGATTGCGTCATGGATGTCCCCCGACAGGGTGATTTCTCACTTTCCCTCTCTCCATCTCTCTCTGTCTCTCCAGTGTGTACACATGCCCTATAGGAAAAAATCTCCTAATAGAAATAAAGTCCCATATCCCAGGAACCTTGTGCAAATGGTTCCGAGAATAACTTAAAACTTCAGAGATAGGCTTCCACATTCTCGTATATTGAGTGAAGGGAAGTCTGGTTTGATGCAAGACTGTGAGTTTGATACAATTTTTTAAAAATAATTTAATTTTATTTATCATCATTATTTCAAGTTTAATTTTTCATTCATTTCAATTTGACCAGAGAGAGAGAGAGAGAGAGAAAGTGAGAAAACAAGCCACCAGGTCTGGGACTCATACTGTGGTTGCCCATGTGGGAGTATCCAGCGCCTTAGCTACCATTCCACCTGCTGGTCCCTATCATTATTATTTAAAAAAAAATCTTTTACTACAAGGTATGTACACTCATGAGAGAGAGAGAGAGAAAGTGAGATAGAAGCCACCAGATCGGGGACTTGAATTGCAGTTGGCCATGTGAGAATCCAGTGCCTTAATCACCATGCCACCTACTGGCCCCAGTACAATTTTTTTTTTTTTTTTTAAAGATTTTTGCCATTGCGCACGTGTGCTTTCTGGGGAGAGACAGTGAGAAGGAAAGTGAAAAATAACCCTCAAGGGGATGGCCACTCCGCAGTCCCTTCTCCTGTGATCTTGAGCATGTACTCCCACACCCATATGCCCAGCACGATTTTCAAGTCACCAGGTCCAATACTTGAGCTGAGGTTGGCCATTTGGAAGTCCAATGCCTTAATTACCGTGCTACCTGCTGGCCCCAATACAGGTTTTGTTTTACATACACAGTAAGGTGTAAATCATAGACACCTTAAACCTGCTGTTGGGACCAGCAGTTAGCATAATGGCTATGTCCTGGACTCCCACGTAGTTGACCGCGGTTTGCGTCCCAGACCCGATGGCTTAAAACTCACGCCAGGCATATGTGCGTGTGTGCCCAAGATCCCGAGAAGAGAATGGAGGAGAAGGGATTGCGGCGTGGCTATCTCCCCTGGGGGGTGATTTCTCACTTTCTGTCTCTCTGTCTCTCTCTGTCTGGCAAGTGCACGTGCCCTATAGCAAAAACCTCTCAAAAAAAAAAAAAAGAAAAAACCTGCTATTACCATAAACTCGGTAAAGTAACTTGAGATTAGATGGAGTATTCCATCTCAGGGACCATTGTCATTCATGGACGTGTTTGTGGATTTTACCTGGGAGGAATGGTGGCTTCTGGACCCAGCTCAGAAGTGTCTATACATTAGTGTGACCTTGGAAAACTACAGCAACCTGGTGTCCTTGGGTAAGTGCCTGTTGACGTGGAGAGTGTGTAAGCTCCCGGCCTTCCTTGGGTGCTCAAAACTGGGGGCTTTTGTAAGATACTTGTGATTTTAGAGTCTTATTTAAAGGTCAGATCTTCTTAGTCCTCCAGTGGCATCTAAGTTTGTCAGTTGAATGGTCTTTACTTTGCCAAAGGGCAAAAGAGTAGCTTCATCAGTAATATACCCATAAACTACATCTTCCCTGTTCTTCAGAATCCCTGAATCTCAAGCAGGTGGGTCAGGTTTTCTGTGGTTTTCTGTTTTATAGGCTATCAGCACACCAAGCCCTTTATCATCTCCAAGTTGGAACAAGGAGAAGTGTGGATGGTGCAGGCCCAAATTCCAAGTCAAGGCCGTCCAGGTGAATGATAGAGATGTTTATATCTTTCTTCCTAATTCAGAATTGGTATGGATTTTTAACATGAGGTGTCTCTCCTTTTGGTACTTTGTCTTTTTATAACTATGCACCCAGGTAATATCTTTCTCTGTGGCGTCCTCAGTTTATTTTTTATTCTCTTGGTAATAGAGTCATTTAATTTTGCATTTAAGCAAGCATTTCTTTTTTTTTTTTTTCACTTTTATGTCCCTTTATGTCTTTGTATTTTTTTATTATACTTTAAAATCCTCTATACTTAAATTTAACAACCATAGTCACATCTTCTCTCCTCCTCTTTGAAATCCATTGGGAGATTCAAAACTTCCCATGCTTCTCTCTGTTAGTCACTGCACTCCCCGCCCCAATCTGTGCATATTCCTGTATCATCGGATAATGTGGATGGTCCTGCCTGAGACCTTAAGCCCACCCTTGTTTAGGTGACCCTCATGAAACCTGTTCTGCCAAGCCCCAACTTCCTTTACACCCCACTGTCCTCTCCCACTTTTCTCTCTCAGTCTAAAGGTTTTTTTTTTTTTTTTAAATCTCCATGCAACTCAGATATTGTAACTTTTAAAAGACTTCTATTCTGTGTTGGTATAAAAAAAAAATGCCACAGTCTAGTCTATAAAGGGAAGAAATTTATTTCTCACAATTCTGAAGGCTAGGAAGTCCAAGTCCTAGCATTAGCAGGTTCTATATCTGGTGAGGTCTTCCTCTTTACTTCCAAGATGGCTCTTGTTGTTGCATCCTCTGGGGAAAAGACAAAAAGAAGGGCAAAAAATACCTAAACTGGTTCCTCCCATCCCTTGTATAAATGCTGATCTATTTATGAAAGCAGAACCCTTAGGACTCATCACTTCCTGTAAGTCCTTGCCTCTAGTACTGTCACAGTGTAGACCAAGCTTCACCATTAATTTGGGAGGGGATACATTCACACCATAGCAACTTCTGTGCTGGAGATTTAAGCTCTTTTCCTCTGCTGGTAATTGAGGGCCAGTCTTTCACCTGCCATTTGGTGCTGGGTTTGATTGTTCTCTAAGTGCACCCTATACGCACAGCCTTCGCCTTTTCAGAAACTGCAGTCCACTCCGTAGCTGCCTATTTCTCATTCTTCTTTTTCACTGTTTTTCTGTTTCTAGTTTTTTTCCTGGTTCTTAGCAATCTTCTTATATGCAGTTGACTCTTGTAGTCTTTTAAAAATCTTGTTAGTATTTTGGTCTCCTAAAAAGGTCTTTTGGGTCAGCTCCATAGTACTATTACTTCCCATATGACTGTACCAGTCAGTAAAACATATCCCAAAAAGCCCCTAGCAGACTTATCTTTAGCAAGCTAGATATATATCACATCCCCCTGTCTAAAAAGACTCTGTCCAAGAAAACAGGACTACAACTTTTGGCTCACATAAATTGTGCTTCACCTTTTGGAGATAGTAGTGGGTTCTCACTTCCCTGACTAAGAACATATGGCCATAAGGATGAGGATGGGAAGAAATCCTATTTCTGCCAACGAGGGAGATGGCAGAAGAACCATGGGAGAGGTAGCACCAGACACACTCTTCTTCCCATCCATCTATCTTCAAAAATGCTCTGCAAACCATAATTTCATTATTGTTCTGCAGTAATGCAGGTCTGGGATCCTGTTCTTAGTCATACGTGATAGTAGTTCTTTAAGGTCTGGACACCTACAATTACAGGAGGCAAGTTGTCACTATAGCCATCTACCTGTTGGTGTAAAAAGAACCCTAGTAGAGTAAGATCATGGTGAGCCCTTGGCCCAGCTCTCTGAGCACTTCCTTTTCCATCATCATCTGTGCTTAATCTTAAGATTGCCTTTGGGGGAGACCAGCAGATGGTGTAATGGCTATGTTGCTGGACTCCCTTGTAGTCGACCATGGTTTGAGTCCCAGACCTGGTGGCTTAAACTCATGCTGGGTTCTTGTGTGTGCATGCTCAGCATCCCAAGAGGAGAATTGAGGAGAAAGGCTGGTGGCGTGGTGATTTTTCGCTTTCTGTCTCTGTCTTCTGGGAAACGTACATGCCCTATAGCAAAAACCTCTCCAAGAAAAATAAAGAAAAGATTGTCTTTCATAGAATGCTTTTTGCTATAGAGGGATGTATTCATGAGAGAGAGAGAGAAAGAGAGAGAGAGAGAAAGAACACCTTCTGGGAGGATGGACGTGCCAGTCACTTCTCCATTCTTTTCTCAGCATTTTGGGCACACACACAATCATCGCCTGGCATGTTTTCAAGCCTCTGGGCCTGGGACTCGAACCATACAGTTGACTATGTGGGATCCAGCTACCTTAACCACTATACCTCTAGCTGTCCCCCAAATGCTTTCGATAGTCTCCAAATCTCAATTTTGTTGCTCCAAATTTGAGTTTCCAAAAGTTATCTTTGGACTCAGCTTTGAATCATGTTTCATACAATCTTAATCATGTTTAAATCTTTTAAATTAGGATACCTGCCTCCTACCGACTGTCTTTGGTGTTCTTTTATGAATTATTCACTTATTTTTTGCCACTGGGTGTGTGTGTGTGCTCGATGGAGGGAGAGAGTGAGAGGGAAAGTGAGAAATCACCTCCCAGGGGGTGGACATGGTACAATCCCTTTTCCATTCTCCCATAGGGATTTTGGGCCATATGCACACATGCCTGTTGTGGTTTTCAAGCCTCTGGGTCTGGGACTTCCGGGACTCTAGTGCCTTAACCATCATGCCACCTGCTGGCCCTGCTCATACCCCTGTCTTTCTCATGTAATTACTACATACTTTGGTTATATCAGTCTTCAGTTTTTATGTTATTACAACTATGTAATTTTTGTGTAAAAGTAAATCATGCCAATATATAGTTGATTTTTGTTTTAAAAATTTTATTTCTGGAGTTTTATATACATATTTAATTTTCTTTGTCATCATTATTAATGTGTTTATTGTTAATCTCATATCCCTTCTGATGACAAAATTTTCCTTTTTATACATATGGCTGAATTAGAAATTTTATCAATTTCATGTTCCTACTCATATCACTCCCTGGTCTTTATGACTTGCTCCATTGAGGTCTTGTTTTTCTCTAGGACTGCTGCACATTTTTAATCCTATCATTCATTTTCATTTTATTTTTTCTTCCTTTTTTTTCTTTCTTTCTTTCTTCTTCTTTTTTTTTTTTTTTTTTGGTGAAGGGATGCATGTGCTCATCAGAGAGAGAGAAGGAGAGAGAGAAAGCAAGCCTCTGTGATTTGTGGTCATGCTATAATCCTTTTACCTCTCTTTCTCCATCCTGTCAGGATTTGGGGCACACACGCACATGCAGCAGGCATGTTCCCCTGGCTGTTGGAGCAGGAATTAGAGCCATGGTCAGTCATATGTGATCATCCTTTCATAATCATGAGGCCACAGGGCTAGCCCTTAATTTTATGTTCAGTATTCTCTGTCTTCTTTTTCTTAGTGTATTTTTTTGGAGCACCTGCTCCAATAGCTTCCTATGAAAGGGTGCATGTGATATAAATATTGTGACCTGTGCATCAGAAAGTGTCTTTGCTTTATTCCCCATTGCTTTACTTCCTGTCCTCTACTGATCTTAAGTCAGGGTTCTTGCTTTGGCAGCACATATACTAAAATTGGAACGATACAGAGAAGATTAGCATGGTCCCTGCGCAAGAATGACACATAAATTTGTGAAGCGCTTCATATTAAAAAAAAAAAAAAAAAGTCTGATGGCATTCTAATTTTTGGTCCATTGTATGGAATTGATTTTTTTGTTTCTCTGTAAGTTTGTATACATATTTGAAACTAACACAAACAAACCTCATGATCTGGCATTTTAAAGGAAGTTTAATTCCATACTAGGATCATGTTGCTATTTATAACATGTAACTTACTGTTTCTATTTCTAGACAAAGTCTGGGAAATTGATGACCATATAATGTTGCATCATGAAAACCAAGGCAAACTGGAAACTGTGGCAAAAAGGTGTGACTGTGTGGGAAACAGAAAACTATGTGTTCTTGGAACAAATTGTATTTCTTCAAAACAAACCCTCATAAGTGTGGCATACCTGGAAAGAGTTTGAAATATAATACAGATTTCAACAGTAATGGTGCTGGGAAACCAGCAGTTAGTGTAATGGCTATGTCGCTGGACTCCCATGTAGTTGACCGCGGTTCGCATCCCGGACCTGGTGGCTTAAAACTCACACTCGGCGCATGTGTGCGTGCCCAAGATCCCGAGAGGAGAATAGAGGAGAAGGGATTGCGGCGTGACCATCCCCCCTGGGGGGTGATTTCTGGCTTTCTGTATCTATGTCTCTCTCTGACTGTCTGTCTGGCGAGCACCCACGACCTATAGTGAAAACCTCTCAAAAAAACAAAACAAAACAAAACAAAAAAACAGTAATGGTGCTGAGAACTGTTCCAAGGGGTTTCATGTACATAGGGAATCATTCCTCCATTCTAAAGATGAACAAAATGTCACTGGAATAATATACTGTGAAAGTAGTAAGTTTGGAAAAACTACCCACAAGAAGTCACAAATTATGCATCAACTTATGTCTGTGGATAAAAGAAAACCTTTTTGAATGCAGTTACTGTGAAAAAGCTTTCAGCAGTCATGCCTCATAAGGTACCAGCAAACTCATGCAGATGGGAAACCCTGTGAATGCAGAGAGAAGACCTTCCATTTTAATTCACAGCTTGTTATACATCAGAAGATTCGCACAGGTGAGACTCTCTATGAATGCTATGAATGTAAGAAAGTATTTAGTAGGAAAAACCAGCTCATTTCACACCAGAGAATTCATTCAGGATGGAAACCCTATGAATGTAATGAATGTGGTAAAGCTTTTGGTTTAAAATCACAGCTTTTTATATGTCAAAGACTTCATACAGGAGAGAAACTATATGAATGCAGTGAATGTTGTAAAGCCTTTAATACAAAGTCAAACTTTGTGGTCCATCACAGAACACATACAGAGGAGAAACCATATGATTGTAGTGAATGTGGAGTAGCCTTTACTTTCAAGTCACACAGCTCATTGTACATCAGGGAGTTCACACTGGAGTAAAACCCTATGGATGCCATCAGTGTGGAAAAACATTTCAGTATGAAGTCACAGCTCGTGCATCAGAGAAGTCACACGGGAGTAAAACCTTATTGTTGCAGTGAGTGCGGGAAAGCCTTCAGGAGCAAGTCATACCACATTATACACATCAGGACTCACAGAAGAGAAACCACATGTATGCAGTGGGAAATCCTTCAGTTTCAACTCACAACTGATTGTGCATCAGAGAATTCACACAGGAGAAAATCCCTATGAATTCAGTGAATGTGGGAAAGCCTTTAATAGAAAAGACCAGCAAAGTCATGCAGGGGAAAAACCTTATGGTTGCAGTGAATGTGGGAAAGCTTTTAGTAGCAAATCATACCTTACTATACATATGAGAACTCACTCAAGAGAGAAACCATTCTAATGTAATGAATGTGGAAAGCCTTCATTTGGAAGTCACTACTCATTGTACATGAGCAAACTCATGCAGGAGAAAACTCTTATAAATGCAGTCAATGTGAGAAATCCTTCATTGGGAAATTGTGGCTCATTGTATATTGAGGATGCACATAAGAGAGAAACCTTATGAATGCAGTGAACGTGGGAAAACCTTCATTAGGAAATCACAGCTCATTGTACACCAGAGAACTCATTCAGGAGAGAAACCCTGTAGATGCAATGAATGTGGAAAAGCCTTCCGTCAGAAGTCAATTCTCAGTGCACATCAGAGGACACATACAGGAGAGAAACGCTGTAAATGTACTCAGTGTGGGGAATCCTTTTGCTGGAAGTCACAGCTCATTATGCATCAGAGAATTCATGCAAATGAGAAATGTATTGATGAATTAAATATAAGCAACTTTCAAAACTTCACAGCAGATACGCACAAAATCATATAGAAAAGAAACTCCTAGATTGTCACAGTATACACCAGAAAATTTGTACTGAACAGAAACTCAATGCATGAGGTGTACAAGGGCATCCATAGTTGTTTAAGTACAAAATTGTACGAAATTTGCAGGAACCCTAGGAATTTAGCAAACCCTATGTAAGTTTGCATTAGCAAATCATCTTTTTATACACCTTATGCCAGTGAAGAATCATGAATGAAATGAATGATACAAAGTCATTAATGTTGAACCAGCAGTTACCGTAATAGCTATGTTGTTGGACTCCCTTATAGCTGACCGCAGTTCAAGTCCCAGACCTGGTGGCTTAAACTCAGGCTGGGTGCATGTGCGTGTGCGCCCAAGATCTGAGAGGAGAATGGAGGAGAAGGGATTTTTGGCGTTGCCATCCCCCTAGGGTGTGATTTCTTGCTTTCTGTCTCTCTGTCTCTCTCTGTCTTTCTGGCAAGCGCACGCGCCCCTATAGCAAAAACCTCTCCAAAAAAAAAAACTTGGGGAAAGTATGAAACAAATTAGTAAATGGTATGGTGGTTAAGGTACTGGATTCTATGTGGCTGATCATTTGTTTAAGACCCAGACCTGGCGGCTTGGAAAATGTGTGTGTGTGCAAACAGAATCCTGTGAGGAGAAGGGATCATAGCATGGCCATCCTCCCTGGGAGGTAATTTCTCACTTTCCCACTCACTATGTCTCTTTCCAGTGAGCACATGCACCCTATGGCAAAAATCTAAAAAAAAAAACAAACAAAATCCCAAAAACCTTATAAATAGTTTTGATTTAGAATACTTACGATGTAATAGTGAAGTGCTAAAGTTAAGAATGTAGGCTTTTGGGGTCAGCAGGTGGCATGGTTGGGGCACTGGACTCCTATGTGGCTGGCTGTCTTCAGTTTGAGTCCCGTACCCCGTGACTTGAAACTCATGCCAGGTGTGGGTGCATGTGTGCTCAAAACCCTGAGAGGATAATGGAAGGTAAGGGACTGTGGTGTGGCTATACCCCTGCTGGTTGTTTTCTCACTTTCTGTCTCTCTGTTTCTCATGTCATTCCAGTGAGCACACGGACCCTATATGAAAAGTCTCTTTCATAAACGTAGGATTTCATCATCCTCTCAAGCCCAGTGTGTGGCCCGTGGGTACCCATGGAAGTCCAACATGCATATTGAAAAGTGTTATTTCTGCTTGGGGCCCTTCTATCCTGGCCATGGCATGATGTTGATCCACAATGACTACAAAGTTTTCAGAGTCTGTAATCCAAATGTCATAAAAACTTGATAAAGAAGCATGATCCTCACAAGGTCATGTGGACTAAAGCATTGTGGAAAGCAGCTGGTAAAGAGCCTACAGTGGATAATTTATTTTAATTTGAAAGATGTAGAAATGAGCCTATCAAATGAGCTGTGGAATAAACCTTTTTTTCTTTTTTTTTTAAAGAATTATTTATTTAATTTTATTTCCTTATGTATTTATTTTAATTTTACCAGAGAGGGACAGAATGAAAGAAAGAGAGGGAAAGTGAGAAAGACAACCCGCTAGGTCTGAGACTCGATCCATAGTTAGCCATGTGGGAGTTCAATGTCCTTAATCACCAGGCCACCTGCCGGCCTCCTGGAATGAAACTATTGAAACAATGAAGAGAGTTTTAGAGATAAAACAATTATCAAGCTAAATTTATTATGAAGAGATGGAAGTAAAATAAAGAGCTACAGAAAGTTTAGGACATCAGAGAAGTCAAGCAAAACATCCATCTTATCTGAGCCCCTCTTGCAGGCAGAGGAAAACAGCTGGAAGGAAAAATTGCATGGCGATTACTACCGGATGTGGGACATGTAAGGTGTTTGTTTAAAAAACAAAACAAAAAACCACCATCAGTACCCATTTCTATGTGTACATATGAAAATCTTTGGAGATTTAGAACTTCTAAATTTCAGACTTTTTTTTTCTTTACATAAGATCATTCAGATGAAAGGTGATTAAAAATACATCTTTCGGGACCAGCGGTTAGCATAATGGCTATGTCACTGGACTCCCA